CTCTTTCCGCCATGTTCTCGGTGTTGATTTGTTCTTGCGCAGCTTAGAGTACTTTATTAATGTTTTCCAATTAAGTCCAACAATGTCCTTGGAAAGAGACAGAATAGAAATTATTTCCCCATGGTACCGCTGGAAAAATTGAAGGCAAAAGCAATGAAGTGCCCTCCAAAAGCACATAGCTTTCTGGGGGCGGAGCTCAGTTCCCACGTCCAGTGCACTGCCAGAGCCGCGTGGCTTCCCAGTGCTGCCGTCCCCCTACGTGGCAGCTGAGGCCACTGTGCGCGACCAGGCAAGATCACATCTCAGAAGAGAAACGCTTTGCCCAAATCTCAGAAGAGAACCACTTTGTCCAAATCTCAAAGTTGCATTTTATACAACTCTTATTTTCTATGTGATAGAAATGTAACACGTGCCTCTTTACTCCACTACCCTATGCAACACATACATATAATTCACACTATGTGGCATCAGCCAGCGCATTATCTCCTCTTGACCCCGTAGAGCCCGATCTCAGGGCTGACTATGCCGGTAAAAAGAATGTGCGTCCCCATGTTTATGCCAAATTACACAAAGTATAGACATTGCAGCTAATGGAGATTTAAGCACAATCCTAGCAGGTATGTTTGAAGAATACTGAATACATTATTGTAACGTGCACCTGAAATTCAACAGGCTCTTCAACGTTACAGGAATGTAACAATCGTGCAAAGCCAATCTCTTTCAATTCCCATCACACATATGTATCTACTTACATGTGTGCACATGCACAAGCGCACACACACACACACACACACACTGCCCCCAAATGGCGGCCTGGTCATCAGAAAAAATGTTTTAAAGGAATACTTCTCTGCCCTCTCCTTCCAGAAAAGAGTCCAACAGTCACTGAGAGTGAAGAACATTCTATTTATACATTCTCGAACCTCTGCTCCCACAGTACCTGAGTCTCGGTTGGTTCGAAAGATATTCTGTGTCTCTGTCAGAGGCATAGAAGGCATCCAACAAGATGCTTCGACCCTTCCACAAGTCCCATGTTCTTAGAAAATTCCTGAGCTCCATCCCAGCGATAGAAAACTGCTTATGAAGTGTGGCACATCTGCATTTCTTTAACCATAGCTGTAATGTGCCATATTAAATAGTAGTCTTTTGCATGCAGGTGTTATTTAATATAATGATGAACTGGTGGCTCCTAATAGCATGTAGCCCATGGCTGTCGACTACCCCAAAAGCGCTAGGGCTTGTCCCGCACAGTGTTCAAAACTTAAATGTGTTCTTTGTAGTAGCCTTGCGTGTGGCCATCAGCAGAATGAGTTAAAACAATGAACGCAACAGATCAAGAAATGGGTTCTTAGTAGGGGATGGCATGAAAGTAAAAAACAGAACAAAACAGTAAGATGCATTCGAGGGATACTTGCTGTGACCCTGCCGGCCACATCAGCAAAGAGACAGTACAAAAGCTGGTACTGGGTCTTGGTAATATACGATATGTACTGGAGAGCCAGAAAAAGGCCCTTAGGACCTCAGCTTAAAATTCAGCTCAAGTTGCCAATTTGCTACGAATCCTTTTTTCCCCACCAATCTGCTCAAAGTGATTATATATAGTATTCTTAAAACCATACAACTTGCTACAGAAATACTCCAGATACTGACCAACTTTATCTTATGTCCTTTATTAAAAGCATATGCATAAAATTGTTGTTTCCTTTATATATTATAGTTTTGTTAAACAATGTTGGCAAAGCCTAAAGTTTCAGGCCACTTTGATGAAAGTTTCAGTACATCTCATTTCATGGGCGTCTGGTGGACTTTATTCACTCCTACGTTAATTGGTATGTTAGATACGAAGACTCCCACGTAACGTCTCATCTTCCAAATGCCTCTCCCCTTCCTGTGCTCTGCATTTCTCTTATATTCCAACACGGATATAAGTTGAGAAATTAGCCAGCAGTGGCTTTTTGACAAAAAGCTGACTAGTTTAATGGCACTTAATTATGCGCAGTCTCTGTTCAGCCTCACACATCTTTTGCCTTTCTCTCCGTAAAGTTATCAGTTATCACACTATTACCCTTTGCCTTTATTTATTGTGATAAGTAAAAAAAAAAGAAAGAACTTATCTTATATACCTAAGGGTGATATGAATTCTAGTTCGCTTTTTCGTACACTTAAGACTATGTTTATTTTTCTCCAGATGCATGTCACCGGGAAAAAAAGAATGCAATGATTCTGAAAAAAGAGCAGTGGTCCGCTTGCTCCTAAAGTTTACATTACCCTCTGAGAAACAGTTGAAGAGACCCTCGTTAAGTAAGCCCCATATAAGATCCCCCTCAATAGATGCATCGTTTACACGAAAGTCCTTTTCAGACAAAATGGAGCAAATCCCCCTCAATTAACCAACAAGAAGGCAGAAGTTGTTGAAAATGCAGAGCATCGAAAGGCGAAGTTTGCAATAGTCATTGTAGATGGTGACTAAGTAATAATGGAGAACCTGAATCACTTTGGAGAGATCTAACCTATACAGGTCAGGCTTAACACAAAACCAGAAAGAAGTCTTTTATTCCAGTTAAGCTTATAAAAAAAGTACTTACTCTGTCCTAGGTAAAGATCTCAAACATCTCTGGTGAAAATCCCAATTCATTTATTGCAATGCATCACCTACAAATAGCTTGAATTTGCATCACAAACACAATGTAAAAATTCCATACGTGAAACAAAAGGCAACTAATTTTTTTCTAGATAAAAAAGGGCATAAAAGAGGAGAACTTTATACATTTGACCTTAGGCAAAAGGCCAAGAAGCGAAGAGAGGAGACCTTTATAAAAGAATAGAGTAGAGGTTACTAAGGAAATTCAAGGCATAGATGTTTAAAAGGAAACTTTATAGATATAGCTATAGAGATATATGTATACTGGTTTATACAGGAATGTGTAAACATGGTGACATGCATTTTATTCATGTAAAAAACAACAAAATGTTCAGATTAATTTTCTAATCATGTGCCAGGGCATTGAAAAAGTTGTCAGTTTCTTCTTTGAATATTAAAATATTTATTCCCACCCAGTAGCATAATATTTCAATGTTTAAACTTCCAACTCTACTGGGGTGGAAAATTTATGATAGTAAAGAGCACATTTTAAGCAAACTTCTTAAAAAGTATTTGAATACATTTATGGTTTTGAAAGAAAATTTCCTCATAAACCTTAACTAGAATATTCAAATTTTGCGAATTAGCACAGTATCAA